CGGGAACGGGAGCTCATTTCTAAAGGTGGCGCGGCCAAGAGGTATGGCCAAAAGGTCTACAGACACTGGTGTCATGGCCGCCTCAGCTGGGTGCAGGTGGTGATGTGGACGGTGCTTCTGCATTAGCCGCAGGGAGAAGGCGAGCAGAGCCGAGGGACACAACCCAGTTAGCCATACCAGAGAACGCCTGACCACACACTCCCTGCCACCCATACTCAGAAAATACGTTCACAGAGGCTCTAAATCTTTCCCTGTTCCTATGTGAAGACGCCCCCAAGGAATCCGGTGCTCCTGCAATCTACAAACTCTTAGGGAAACCCAGAAAGCTTATTGAGAAGCCTCCTTCGTTCCCTTATTGGATTAGTATTTACTGAGACCCCTCTAAGTGCCAGGCACAAAGAATATAAAAAGGATAGACTAGGTCCCTGACCTGTGGCAGGAGGAGGAGTTAAGTGGTCAACACTGAAGCGGACCGGATTATGTCATTTGAGGGACCGGTGTCCCGAGAGCCCTGGGAAAGACAGCGAAGGCCAGGGGTGGCTAATTCTGATGTGAAGGTAGAAGAAAGTGGGGTGGTGGCAGGGGGTGGGATCCTGGAAGGCTTCTCAGAGGAGGTGCCGGGTGGAGACGAGGGTGAGGCAGTATGTGACTGAGGTCCTGACAACTAAATCTGGCTCCGTCCAACGTTCTTGCCTGTTGTACGTATCAGTAAGAATCATGGGAACCCAGAGCTCCCTCAGAGGCTGTGGAGGACACACAAAATAAGTAAGAGATAGGTCCCCCCTCCCTCCGGACACTTAAGATGTGATAGCGATACAATCCCAACTTTGGCTTTACCACTCTGCAAAGCCTTCTAACGTTTCACACGCTACAGAGTAAGAGGAAGCTAAGCGTTAGCGGGAGGCCGGGAACACTCCTGAATGTGACCGCCAGCTGGCACCATGGGAACGCCTACAAAGAGCCCAGTCGCGAACATGGTTCTTAACCATCGCCCTGGAGTCAGGTCAGCTCCCCTACACGCTATTTGAACTTGGGCAAGCCACCTAACCTCTCGGAGACTGTGTCACCTCATCTTCAAAATGGAGATCCTAACGGCTCCCATTTCTAAGGCAGTTGTGAGGGAAGTTGAGATAAAGCAAGAAAAGTGCCTGGGTCAAGGTCTACCAAGAGTAAGCTCTCAATAATAACAATAAAGTTACGGGATGCTTATGATTTATAGTTATTTACTTTTTAAATAAGTGCGTTTAAGTAATATTATTCTTGAGCTGGGTGACACGGTGGACACAAATACAGCTAATGGCCACGTTTAGACTCTTAGCACGTGCCAGTCACTGTTCCGGACACTTTACGTGTTTTATTTCAATTCACTGGATTCTCACGACACTAGGAAAGGTATTATCATCCCCAGTTTACAGGTAAGAAACCTTGGCCACAGAGAAGTTAAGTCACTTGCCCAGGGCCACACAGCAAAGCCAGGATTCCAACAGATGGGAGGGTGGCTCAAGCAAGCTGTACTCCCAACCACTCTGGGGTGCTGCTTCTCGTCACAACGAATCAGACACGACCCTCGAAAAGAACGCTGGAAGGCAACCTGACGTATGAGAAGTCTCCGGAGAAAGAAAAATCATAAAAGTACCCAAAGAAGAGCTGATGAGATTGACCCAACCCAAATGGGGACGTCAAGGAAAGGGAACCGTGAAGAAAAGCAGGGGCGTGCTGCGTCGTGGAAGCAAGAGGAAAAGAGTTCGGAAAGAAGCGGGTAGGCGGTGGCCGGCCACGCCAGGTACTACAGTGATGGAAAGGTGGAGGAACCTTCAGAACAACTAGGATGTAGCACAGCGAGGAGCGCAGTTAAGGGAGAGCGCAGATACCACGGAGGGCGGAGGGTAAAGCCAAATGACAAGGGATGGTAGGGAAGCGACACCAGTCGCTGTAGACTTCCCTTTTGAAAAGGTTAGTAACAAAAGGGAGGCAAGAGAGGAATGCCAGTTCAAAGGATTTTTCCCCTCCCAGACGAGAGTCCTTTGTTTGTTATCAGAATGGAACTTGCGCGTAGAGAAAGAGCGAAGGTGCGGGAGACAGTTGTGGACAATTTATGAATGAGCGGAGAACGTGCACAGCTTCTGTGGGGTGGCTCCAGCGGGGGCTGTGGCCTCGGCCAAGAGGGACGCGCTCCTGCCTCTGATTCAAGAGGGAAGACGGGACGGAAGGAGACAGAGAGACATTTTGATAATGGAGGGGCGGTGAGACAGCTCCCAGGAGCTGGTTCTAACCTTCTCGGCACGGACAGTTCCGGGAAAAGAAGCAAGGATGTTGCTGGACGCTGTCTGGGCAGCTCCCGATGGAGATGCCATTTCCCCTTTTGGGCCGGCTGGCAAACTCTTACTAACCCTTCAGAACCCTGACCACCTCCTCTGACCCCCTAGGCGCCAAGGCAGAGCCGGGGCTCGGTCACCTGCACTCGTTCACTTATCCCTCCCTTACTACATTAGTCGCGCCGTCTTGCAATTAGTTTCGTTTACGTCTCTCTCCTCTTTCAGTCTTTAGTCCTGGATGGTGGAGACCACATTACACTTACCTTAATTTCTCTCCCACCTAACCAGTATTAAAAGATATGCAGTAAATGGCGTGTCGAACGAATAAAGACATCAGTCCGTAAGCCATACATAAAAGGACTCCAATTCGGACCCAGAAAGGGAGTAACGTTTTCGAACTAGCATCCTAAATGTCTAGGTTCGTTTCAGATAGAAAACAGTCTGCTCTTGGGCAATTACCCTAACCTCTCTGCATCTAATAACCCAAGCTCTGAAAAATGGGAGCACGATCCATGGAACTGTGGGCTTCATTAGTGAATGCCAGGAAAGGGCTTTTTAAGTGGCAAAGCAGATAATTACAGAAAATGCCTCTGAGGGAGAAAGATGACAAAAATGCGTCTGAGGGACAATGGAGGAGCTTTCTTCCAGGATCTCCCCCACATTGCGCTCTGACATAAGCAGCTACAGAGGACTCAGAGCCCTCTCAAAGGCCCTGCGCCCCTAGGTCCCAAGGTTACGTGTTCACCAAGTTCACGAACGGCTGTGAAAGACTATCTGTTAGAAAGCACAAGGGTCCTGCTACTCAGCACCTCCCAGCTCAGGGCCGATCTGCTCCCTACTTAACTTCCGGCTTTTTCTATTGTTCTGTCTTGTGGCTCCCGATTTCTGCCTTTCTAGAGCAGCAACAGAAGCCACTCAATGTGCTTGACCCTTGGAAACACACTCGTGCTCCCAGGAAGTACACGATCATTTATCACTGCCGTTTTCCAAGTGTTAGCTAGAATAAAGAGATACCTAGGTAAGCCCTCAAAACAGCCACCAGCTTATTTGCCCAAGATGTGATACAGCCTACTCCAGGTAAGCTGCAAAAACAAGGTGACGCTGAGTAGTAAGACACGTTTGCATTCTGGGCTTTTTAAAAACAAATTTATGATTGACATATTTTACACTTATTTCTAAGGCCAGAGAAATAGAAGGCATAATGTATTCTGGATGGCTGGTCCTAAATGTAGAGGAACACTGCAATGGAAAAGTTTAGAGATGATAATTCTAAAACGTCTGTGTTTGAGTAATATTATAATTCCTCTCTACACACACAAAGAGGCACGTGGGCACACGCACACTCCTCTAAAATTGATTTTGCCGAAGATAAATTCATAATTAGTTTGCCCCCCAGATACCCACATTCCATATTCGTAATATGTGTGATAATAATGGGTAAAGATAGCCTAGAATTTTTAATTGTCACAGTTAATCAAAAGGTGACTATATATAGAACAGATCAGAGCTGGAAAGAATAGTAGAAGAAAAAAAAAAAGAATGGGGGTTAGAAGTGAAGAAAAGAATGTGACACAAAAAAGAAAGATAAGAATAAGAATTTATTACGAGATTTCTGTGTCAGTCAGGGGTACCAATTCTTTTCCAGACTGATTCTCAATCCACGTTCAGACATCTTCAGAATGGGGGCACTTCAGGTTTGAGAAAGGCCTTAAATTGGCTATGTATGTGACACCGAAGAAGGTTTTATTTCCTAACACTGCAGGTTGCTTGCTTAGTATCAAAGCAGTTCACTGTCTGTAGTTCTGCAAAAACAAATGTAGAAAATTTGCTACGGCTCTAATGAAAAGTCTTCTTGGTATCTACATTAGCTAGTTGATCTTAATGTTAGCCACTCGGAGCTCCTTTGGAAACTTACAATTAGCTGGGAGAGACAAAATGACGGCGTGTTCTCACTACCGACAGGACTTCAAGGTCCACACAGAAACGGAAAGGCCCTTAGTCAAGGATACCATATGAGGAAGCCTTTCAGTTGTTGGAAAGTCAGGCTAAATGACTTCTAGTATCACTTCACAGCTGTGAACTTGCATGATTCAATGACCTCACAGGCAAATCGCGAGATTATTCTGGGATGTGGACATCACCGGGACATCGCATCCCTCCCGGAGAGACCTCCTGTTGAATACATGGAGAAACTCCTGAAACAAGAGTCGACTGTACTCTGCGTGACCCCCACACCTTGCAGTGATCCTCTGTGCTGCCTGAGCCCTGAGGGCCTGCTCCGTGCACCCTGATGACCTGATGATAAATTCGCTCGGCCCCCATTCATCCAATGAAATATCTGTCCTTAGCGGAACCTCAGCTGGTGTCCTTCTCTGGGCAAAGTCGAGGTAAGTAATTTTAGAGCGCGCCATACCTTAGAAATTTGGGCTCACCTGTTCCATCAACCGTCAAAACAGAAACTAAAGCCTCACTCAGTAAAAAGGTTATATTGTTCAACCAGTACGTCATTAGTGTTGAACGGACATAAATTAAGAGAGTGGAGGAGATCTTTGGTCTTCTTTTTGAGGTCTAGGACCTCAAATCTCCCTCCTTGATGTCTCCACACAGGTTTTACTCCAAGTACTGAATGTGGAAAGATTAAAGTCTGGGGAGGAAAAAGTAGGGTGGAAGGAAGTCGGGAGGGGGAGGGGCCGGAGGGGCCACATCATGATTCAAATTCTACCGTGCAAGTCATCAACTGTGAGGTATATCAAAAGCAATCATAATAAAAAGCATAAATCCTCAGTGCATACCCTTAGAATCCAAGACTTCCAGAAAACTGTGGGATACAGGACATTATTTCAGCTATGCACTTAAAGGTTTATACAAAGGCTTCGGCTTTCAAGTGACTATTTTGGAGTAAAGAAGAAGCGAAGCCACAGCCAGAATCTAAGGGCCAAGATCTGAAAACCAAGCAAATATATACAAATGTACAGTAATTCATAGGTAAGGGGCTTTGATCCAGTTGTCTGAATATCTGCCTCAATTTCTATTGTCTGTTTATTTGCATTCATATCTCTTGCCATACTCACTATGGTCGACTAGCATCCCATAGAATCACTAAAAACGTTTCACACGAATCCAAATTCTGCTTGTCCTTAAGGTAAGAGAGATTGGTCGAAGCACTTCATATAAATGTCACTAAGGAAAGTCTCCATTTAAAGTGTGGGTAACAGGGGCGCCTGGGTAAGTCAGTCGGTTACGCGTCCTACTCTTGATCTCAGCTCAGGTCAGGATCTCACAGTTCGTGGGTCCACGTCCCACATCGGGCTCTGCGCTGATGGTACGGAGCCTGCTCGGGATTCTGTCTCTCCCGCTCTCTCTCTGCCCCTCCCCCACATGTGCTCATGCTCTCTCTCTCTCTCTCTCTCAAAATAAATAAATAAACT